GCACGAGGAGCCTGCCCAGGGAGGAAACTGAGATTAAGAGCTGTGAAAAAAAAGTCTTGTTTGTGACCAGAGTGGAAAGTGGCAAGAGCCAGGTTTTGGACACCAGTTCCCTTCCTCCCAAGCAGCCCCGCCTGAATGGGGCCCTTTGTTAGGAAAATTCTCCAGGAAGAAGGATGTTTTGTTGAGCAGGTTTTTAAACATTGCATAGTAGGAAGTTGGAGAGGTTAAGCAAGTAGGGAGTAGCAGCAGAAGGCAGAGGAGGGAGCCTGACAAGCCCAGGCGGAGTCCAGCTGTGACTGCCTGTGCGCATCCTTTCCCATTTCCCTCCCTACTCGGGCCCTTTCCAGATGCATCACCTCCACAGAATGCCCCCGTCCCTGCCCCAGGACACCCAGTCCTTGCTCAGCGTGCTCACTGCCCCCACGTCTGATCACAGCGGCCCTTCATGCAGACACCGAGACCCACGGTAAGGCGGAGGACCCCGAACGTTTCTATGGGCAGGTGACCTGCTGCGGAACCAGCTGCCACGCACGCTCCGGCAGCTCTGCTGTCTGGAAAGCCCTGTGACTGCTCTGTGGCCTTGCCGCATTCTCCCCACAGAAATGAGCAGGGCCCTCACGTAAACACACAGGAGCTGTACTTTGGTGATCACTACCCGACAGAATGTTTTGATCTCAGAAGCTCCCTGCATCTGTGGAGCAGTGCGGTTTACTGGAGGGGCTCAGAAGGCCTGGATCCCGTTTTCAAGCGGCCTCTGCTTTGCTGTGTAACCTTGAGCACGTGACTCAAGGTCGTGATTTTCTTGCGTATCCAATGAAGCTCATCCGTGAACGCTCACCACTTTACCTAGTGAGGAGGGTGAGGCGCTGAAGGTGTGTGAGAAGCTGTCTCTGCAGACGCTAGTGGGCACGGTTTCACCACCTCTGTGGCTTGCAAATAGGTTCCTCATTTGCAGCATCTGAGAAGTTGCTCTTGCCTTTGTCCAGTGTGACAAGTGTCTCCAATGTATGTATTTCAAGGCTTTCCAGCTATGCTTGAAGCTCTTTAGGGGATGGAATGTGGGGAGAGGATGTGGATTTCTGCACCTCGGTCTACTCCAAAGAAGCTCAGTTGGGACTTTATAAACACACTTGCCAGACTTGGCTGGAGACCTCCATTTCCTTTTCTTCTACTCAGATTTGCTCCAACTTTTTTAATGCCTTGTAGGATGTCATACTCAGACACCCAGGACATAATTGTTCAGTTGAGTTGAACTCCTAAGGAGATGCATAATATAAAACTGAACCCATGTAATGTAGGTAAAATGTAAGCTGAAAGAAAACAGTCCTTGCTCTGAAGTAAATTGCTAAAGGGTAGTGCTAAGATTATGGCGGAATTTAATAACTTAATTGGTTAGAGTAAGAAATATTTTGTATTCCGGAAGAGTTAAAAACTTTCCAAGGCATGTGGACATTCCTATTTCCACTTCTTCAGAAGTACTGTCGGAATCCTAATAAGATACGGGCAGAATTCCTGGCTGGCATTCAGTCTGCCCAGTGAACTAGAACAGGGCATTTAATCAAGGCATGTGAGTGGAAAGAATCTTTCATCTCAGTATCATTGCCACAGGTTAGCAAAACAATACCTTTTCCTTTAGAGCAGATAAGTTCTTTTCTTAGGAATTATCAGCAATATCTCAATTAACAAAAACTTTGTAGAGTGGAAGCCACTTTATACAGCTAGTATAAATCTGCCCCCCCCCCACCAGTGCCTTATTTTTGGTTTTGCTTTGTTTTTGTTTTTTGCTGCTCAAGTCAAAAAGAATTACAAGAAAATAGTTTTTTTTTTTACTAGAAACTAGAAAGAATTAGTTTCTAGCGCTGTTCTAAAATCAAATGACATTCAGTCCAATCTCCTATTTATGTCTACATTGCTATATGTGACAAAGCTAAAAATGATGAACCAAAAATGACAAACCCATTTCCTAGAAAAAAAGAATGTCTGCTCTAAGTGTTATCATAAACTTGTACATATAAGCAAGAATCAAGAAGGCAGTTTCCAGAGCCCTGTTCCCATGAGGACTCTCTGAGGGTGTTTGAGTCAGTAAGATGCCTGTTGTTATCTACGCGTCAAAAATCAAGAAGTAAAACTTGTATATTTTTCTTGTTTGTTTTTAGATGCCACTGCCTGGGGAAATGTGTGGAGAAAGGGCATATTGGATGTACTGTTCCTTTAAAATTGATATTACTGTGGCAACTAGGTATCATTGGACACTATTGTGCCCTATAGTATATGTGTTAACAAGGCATGTTTAGAGAACATAAATCCTGAGTTACAAACTGCCAAATTAAGAAGGAAATCTCCACTTTGGGGACATTTTAACCTATCTGTAAGTTAGAGACAGTTCCTTTTATATTAAGGAAAATAAGTCGACGAATATATTTTAGAAGGATTTTAAACATTAAGAACGTAAAGGACTCTAATTATGATACTACTTTAACCCCAAATCCCTATTCTTACCAGGATTTTTCTGAATATCCAGTTCTGTGTCAATCGATGAGCTTCATGGTTACAACAGTTGGGAACTTTGAAGTCCTCCACTCAAATCATGTATTAAGCTTCATTTTTATGACAGCTCTTGCTAAAACCCCATATTGTGTAGGGCTGGGTTATTTGACCAAAAATGTAAGCTAAGGAAACTCTTCTCACTCTGAAGTGAACGCCTTCCTCACCAATGTAAATGACAGTTTCCCACAGCTTCACCATTTCATCCAGATAGATAATGTTTTCATTTCCAAGTCACTTCCCCTTCTCTGTGGCTGCTATTTCAACTTGCGTGGGATGCAAGTTCCTCTCCAGTTATGCATTTTCAGTGTTTGCACAGCTGTGCTTGTGCTCATGTGTCCTTTTGTGACTCTGTCCACTGATAGAGGCTGTTTCAGATTAGATTTAATCTCTACCAGGTCAGGGGTGTGATTCTTTTTAACGTGCTGTATAATGAACATTTAGTGTGTGCCGTTTGCTTAAGCTCTATAGAGTTAGAAGTGATGAAATATATTCTGTGAATATTAAACATGTTTGCAAATAAATGTCCTTTAAATGTATGATTGGATTCTGAGCCTTATTCATCCAAGCCCAAAACACATGGTGTGTGTGCCTTCCCAGGTGGCAGTAAGACTTTCATACGTGTGGCCTGGAATCACTGAGACTGGAAATACCAGGATCCATGCTCCGAGATGATAGTGCCTGCTCTCCTGCTTTTATGGTTCAGTAATATTAACTCAAGTGTTTCTCTCTGGCTCTAGCCTCAAGTGTCATACAATCTTATTGGGAGTGAGGGGTGCGTAGCCAGGGAGGAGGAGAAAGGCACCAGCTGACAAATCGGCTTGTGTTTAGGTGCCAACTTGTACAAATACAGACACAGACCTTCAGTCTCTAGAGTTGCCATGTCCATTATGATAGCCATTAGCCACGTGTGGCTACTGAGCATCTGAAGTGTGGCTCGTCTGAATTGAGGTGAGCTGTGTCTTTAGAACAACACTGGATTTTGAAATTTTAATACAAAATAGAGAATGTAAAATATGTCAATAATTTTTATATTGAATATATATTGAAATGCAATATTTAAGATATACTGGCTAAGTAAAATAGACTAAAATTAATTTTACCTGTTTCTTCTCTTTTTTTTTTTTATTATTGAGACAGTCTCGCTCTGTCATCCAGGCTGGTGCGTGGTGGTACAATCACAGCTCACTACAGCTTCATAGGCTCAAGGGATCCTCACAACTCAGCCTCCCAAAGTGCTGGGATTACAGGCATGAGCCAGCGCACCTGGCCTCCCTTTTACGTTTTAAATTTGGTTTCTAGACAACTTGAAATGAAGCACACATTATACCTCTACCTGGAGTAATCCTCAGTTGAGGGGAGGCTCCTGTGGTGAGCGGCACCTGCCGGGGAAGCAGAGTAAGGGCGCCTCAGCTCACTCAGGGCATCTGCTTGGGAAAGAGAAAATGTTAACGGCCCCTCTATGTAGATTTCATGCCCCTCTTAAATCCATTTCTCTCAGATTATTTTGGGGTTAGTTGAGTAGGATATGCTGTTTAACTGTACTGGATATAGATCTCTGATTTAAATGAGTTTGTTTATCCTGGTACCCTCAGGATAGTTTTAAAATGCTAATTATTATCATCATTACAGTGGCTAATGATTCTACAGCACAGCCAGTCCTACACAGTTTATATAACACCTGAGTCAGTCACTGTTACCTCCATTTGAACAGACGGCAATGGAGACTCGAGTCAGTGTCTCAAGGTCATACAAGTAGAGGTTGACCCAGGCCATGGGGTTCAGAATCTGCCCTGAACCACAAAGCAGTACCACCCTCTAAAATAACATGTATTTCTCCACTTTCTTAGCACATGACTATGCCAGCCTTTCCACAGTATAATAACAGTATTAACTCTTTTCTCCAAAACTTCGATGTTTTCCAGTAGTTTCACAGCTAAGGCATTCAGAGATGTTTAATCTCAAAAACTGGGCTCTACTGTAAGGTTCTGGATGATCCAACTCCTTGTTTTCCCCTCAAGTTGCCCCGAAAAGGCTGCATACATTCAGTCTGCTTAACAATGTGGTGCAATTCCAATTAAATAAAAAACAGTAGTTCCCTGCCACACGCCAAGTACTGGGCAGCCAGAGATAAAGACGACAGACCCCCAGCTCACAAACAATTCTGCCCTGGTGGGGCTGAAGGCAGATTCTAGTAACGCGATGTGTCGAGGGCTGTGTGTCCGCAGTGCCATGGGAACAGAGGAGAGGGACACCCAGCACATTGTGGGGTGCGGGTAAAGGTGTCCCATTAAAGACATCTTCTGGGTGGAAGGGTGCTTGAGCCATCTTCAAATATCTCATGCTGGTGTTCTCACAGCATGGGAAGGCCACCGGGAAGGGTGCCCGCCAGCTTCGCCGTAAGCACTGCATCTGTGGTTGTGCAGAGCATGCTGACCCCATTCCTGTGGTTTCAGGTGCCAGCAAGGTCAACCTCGTGAAGATCGCGTCCACAGCCTCCAGCCCACGGGACACGGCGCTGGCTGCCATCATCTGCAGCGCTCTGGCCACCGTCCTGCTGGCCCTGCTCATCCTCTGCGTCATCTATTGTAAGAGACAGTTTATGGAGAAGAAACCCAGCTGTAAGTTCTGAGCTCATTACATTTCTTAGCATTTGGGGGAAGGGCATTTATTACCATTGTCATGCAAGTGTTCCACAAGAGACTGGCTGAGACAAGCACCAGCGAGCTGTGAAAGAACACAGGGCATAAGAAACACAGGTGATCCCTGAACAGCAGAGGGCTAGGGGAACAGTTAAGAATCCACACATCAGTGTTGACTCCCTGAAAACGTAACTACTAATAGCCTATTGTTGATGAGAAGCCTTACTGGTAAACAGTCAGTTAATACATCTTGTATATTTTTTTGTTTTTGTTTTGTTTTGTCTTTTTTCGAGACAGAGTCTGGCTCTGTCACCTAGGCTGGAGTGCAGTGGCGTGATCTCAGCTCATGGCAACCTCTGCCTTCCAGATTCAAGGGATTCTCCTGCCTCAGCCTCCGGAGTAGCTGGGACTACAGGCGCCCACCACCACGCCTGGATAATTTTCATATTTTTAGAAGAGATGGGGTTTCACCATGTTGGCCAGGCTGGTCTCGAACTCCTGGCCTCAAGTGATCTGCCCTCCTCGGCCTCCCAAAGTGCTGAGATTACAGGTGTGAGCCACTGCACCTGGCCTGTTATATGTATTATGCCGTGTATTCTTACATTAAAGTAAGCTAGAGAAAAGAAAACGTTACTATGAGAATCATAAGGGAGACAAAATAAGATTTACTCTTCATTAAGTGGAAGCCGATCATTGTAAAGGCCTTCATCCTCATCATCTTCACATTGAGTGGACTGAGGAGGAGGAGGAGGAGGGGTCGGCCTTGGTGTCTCAGGGTGGCAGAGGCTGAAGAAAATCTGTGTATAAGTGACCTGCACAGTTCAAACCCGCAATGCTCAAGGGTCACCTGTAGAACTCACTGAGGTTGCACAACTTTGTAAGGAGACTTACAAGGCTGTGATGTCCCTGTGCCACTAGGCAAAAATAAAAATCATTGTCAGTAATGGCAACATTAGTACCCTACATTTTGAACTTTCTTAACAAATTACTTCATGTTTGTGCTTCCATATAAGAAGTCCTCAAACGTCGGAAGGATAGCTGACTTGTTCTTTAAAAATACGAAAGCTAGAATGGTACAGGTCTGCATTGGATGTTCACGGGACTGCCGCAGAGAGGAAACTGTGTTCCCTGACAGAGTTCTCACCCCTCATTTAGGGTCTCTGCGGTCTCAGGACATTCAGTACAACGGCTCTGAGCTGTCGTGTTTTGACAGACCTCAGCTCCACCAATGCGCCCACAGAGCCTGCTGCCAGTGCCGCCGTGACTCAGCGCAGACCTGCGGTAAGTTCAGCAGAGGAGTGCCCTTAGGAGGCCTGGAGGCACCCTGAAGCTGAAGCAGCAAGAATTGGTCCCGGTTTATTCATCGCACAGCGAGGTGGCTGTGTTGAGTCTTCTAGTGAAAACTAATCTTGTTAGACTATTCTCCACCATCTCCTGTTGGTTTGGGTGTTTTGAGTCTCTTAAGTATTAAAAAGGAAACAAGCATCTCGTTAAAATTCTAGAATTTTTCAGCAACTTTTGGGGCATGTTTGTCTTTCTTATTTTGAGTCAGTTTATTTAAAATCGTGGTAGCCTTTGGTAGAGTAGGAGTCTGCTGTCTGGTTGATTCAAACCAAACACTAATATGCCTATTTTAAAAATATGTCTATTTTAAAAATATATCTATTTTTAGAATTTCTTAAGAGAGACGTGAGAAGTCCATTTCAAGGTTTTACACAAACCATAATTGTCCCTTGGACTACTGACAGAATGAAAGTTTAGGAAAGTGATTCAAAGGGAAACTGGTCTCTAACTTGGGCAAATAGGGGCAAAGGTAATACCAACTTTTTTTAAACTTTTATTTTAGGTTTTTGGGTACATGTGCAGGTGTGTTACATAGGTAAACTCGTGTTACACATTTCTTTATTTTACAGATTATTTAATCACCCAGGTATTGAGCCTAGTACCCAATAGTTACTTTTTCTGTTCCTCTCCCTCCTCCCGTGCTCCACCTTCAAGTAGACCCCATTGTGTGTTGTTCCCTTCTTTGTATTCACGTGTTTTCATCATTTAGCTCCCGCTTGTAAGTGAGAACATATGGTATTTGGTTTTCTGTTCCCGCTTTAGTTTACTGAGGATAATGGCCTCCAGCTCCATCCATGTTCCCACAAAAGACATGATCTCATTCCTTTTTATGGCTGCATAGTATTCCATGGCGTATATGTACCACATTTTCTTTATTCAGTCTGTCATTGATGGACATTTAGGTTGATTCCATGTCTTTGCTATTGAGAATAGTGCTGCAGTGAACATTCATGGGCATGTGTCTTCATGGTAGGATGATTTATATATTTAGGTATATAACCAGTAATGGGATTGCTGGGTCAGGTGGTAGTTCTGTTTTTAGCTCTTTGAGGAATTGCCACACTGCTTTCCACAATGGCTGAACTAATTTACACTTCCACCAACAGTGTGTAAGCATTCCCTTTACTCTGCAACCTTGCCAGCATACGTTAGTTTCTGACTTTTGAATAACAGTCATTCTGACTGGTGTGAGATGGTATCTCATTGTGGTTTTCATTTGCATTTTTCTAATGATCAGTGCTGTTGAGCTTTTTATCATATGCTTGTTGGCCACATGTATGTCTTCTTTTAAGAAGTGTCTGTTCATGCCTTTTGCCCAGTTTTTGATGGGGTTGTTTTTCTCTTGTAAATTTAAGTTCCTTATAGATGCTGTATAGTAGACTTTTATCAGATGTATAGTTTGCAAACATTTTCTCCCATTCTGTAGGTTGTCTGTTTACTCTGATGATAGTTTCTTTTGCTGTGCAGAACATCTTAAGTTTAATTAGATCCCATTTGTCAATTTTTGCTTCTGTTGCAATTGCTTTTGATGTCTTTGTCATGAAATCTTTGCCCATTCCTATGTCCAGGATGGTGTTGCCTAGGTTTTCTTTCAGGGTTTTATAGTTTTGGTTTGTACATGTAAGTCTTTAATCCATCTTGAGTTGGTTTTTGTATATGGTGTAAAGAAGGGGTCCAGTTTTAATCTTTGGCCTACGTCTAGACAGTTATCCCAGGATTTATTGAACAGGGAGTCTTTCCCCATTGCTTTTGTCAATTTTGTCGAAGATCAGATAGTTGTACGTGTGTTCGTCTTATTTCTAGACTCTATTCTGTTCCATTGGTCTATGTGCCTGTTTTTGTACTAGTACCATGCTGTTTTGATTACTGTGGCCTTGTAATATAGTTTGAAATCAGTTAACATGATGCCTCCAGCTAGGTATTGAAGGAACTGTATTTGTTCTTTTTGGTTAGGATTGCCTTGGCTAATTCAGGCTCTATTTTGGTTCCATATGAATTTTAAAATAGGTTTTTCCTAGTTCTGTGAAAAATGTCTTTGGCAGTTTGATAGTAATAGCTCTGAATCTGTTTGGGCAGTATGGCCACTTTAATGAAATCGATTATTCCTATCTATGAGCATGTGATGTTTTTTCATTTGTTTGTGCCTTCTCTGATTTGTTTGAGCAGTGTTTTGTAATTCTCTTTCACCTCCCTGGTTAGCTGTATTCTTAAGTATTTTATTCTTTTTGTGGCAATTGTGAATGGGATTGTCTTGCTGATTTGGCTCTTGGCTTGGCTGTTGTTGGTGTAGAGGAATGCTAATGATTTTTGTACATTTTGTGTCCTGGAACTTTGCTGAGGCTGTTTACCAGCTGAAGAAACTTTTGGGCAGAGACTGTGGGGTTTTCTAGATATAGAATCATGTCATCTGCAAACAGGGATAGTTTGACTCCCTCTCTTCCTACTTAGATGCCCTTTCTTTCTCTTGCCTGATTGCCCTGGCTAGGATTTTCCATACTATGTTGAATAGGAGTGGTGAGAGAGAGCATCCTTGCCTTGTGCCAGTTTTCAAGGGGAATGCTTCCAGCTTTTCCCCAGTCAGAATGATGTTGGCTGTGGGTTTGTCATAGATTGCTCTTATTATTCTGAGGTATGTTCCTTCAATACCTAGTTTATTGAGAGTTCTTAACATGAAGGGATGTTGAATTTTATTGAAAGCCTTTTCTGCATCTATTGAGATAATCACATGGTTTTGTCTTTAGTTCTGTTTAAGTGATGAATCGCGTTTATTGATGTGTGTATGTTGAACCAACCTTGCATCCCAAGGATGAAGCCTACTTGATCGTGGTGGATTAGCTTTTTTGATGTCCTGCTGGATTCCGTTTGTAAGTAGTTTATTGAGGATTTTTACATTGGTGTGCATCAGGGATATTGACCTGAAGTTTTGTTTGTTGTATCTCTGCCAGATTTGGGTATCAAGATGATGCTGGCCTCATAGAATGAGTTAGGAAGGAGTCCCTCCTCATTTTTTTGGAACAGTTTCAATCGGGATGGTACCAGCTCTTCTTTGTTCATGTGGTAGAATTCGGCTGTGAATCCATCTGGTCCTTGGCTTCTTTTGGTTGGTAGGCTATTTACTACTGATTCAATTTTGGAGCTCGTTTTTGTTCTGTTCAGGGAATCAATTTATTCCTGGTTCAGTCTTGGGAGGGTATATATGTCCAGGAATTTCTCTGTCTCTTCTAGGTTTTCTAGTTTGTGTGTGTAGATGTTCATAGTAGTTTCTGATGGTTATTTTTATTTCTGTGGGGTCAGTGGTAACATCCCTTTTGTAATTTTTAATTGTGTTTATGTGGATATTCTCTCTTTTCTTATTAGTCTAGTTAGCAGCCTATTTCTTCAAAAAAACAACTCCTGGATTTTTAAATATTTTGAGTGGTTTTTCATATCTCAATTCTTTCATTTCAGCTCTGATTTTAGTTATTTCTTGTCTTCTGCTGGCTTTAGGGGTGAGGTGATTTGTTCTTGCTTCTCTAATTCTTTCTGTTGTAATGTTAGGTTGTTAATTTGAGATCTTTCTAACTTTTTTATTTGGGTGTTTAGTGCTATGAATTCCCTCTTAACACTCCCTTAGCTGTGTCCCAGAGATTCTGGAATGTTGTATCTTTGTACCCATTAGTTTCAAAGAATTTCTTGATTTCTACCTTAATCTTAGTATTTACCCAAAAGTCATTCAGGAGTATGTTGTTTAATTTCCATGTAATTGCATGGTTTTGAGTGATTTTCTTAGTCTGTACTTCTATTTTTATTACACTGTGGTCTGCGAGTATGTTTAATACTAATTTTCTTTGCTATGTATTTTTATTCCTTAGCACGTGTTCTTACACTTACACATCCCACTCCCCCGCCACCCTACCACCTCACCTCCTCTGCAAATTAAAACCCTCCATGGCCAACCACCCTCTCTACAAGTCTACCCCAGTTCCCCTGTCGTCTTATTACTTTACAGGTCTGTTAGCACCCATGGAAGCAATATTAATAGCACCATTTTGTCTAATAAGCCATCTGTATTTGTTTTAACCATATCCCATTAGATCCCATTAGATTGACTTGTCTTCTTGGAACTGTCTAATCAATCTTCTCAAGAAATTGTCAGTTAACTGTTCCAATCTCATGTTGTATATATAGCCATGCATTGCTTTTATGCTAACCTTGTAGAGTGCACACAAACCTAGATGGGATAGCCTCCTACAGAGCTAGGCTATGTGGTATAGCCCATTGCCCCAGGCTACAAACCTGTACAGCATGTGACTGCACTGAATACTGTAGACAGTTGCAATACGATAAGTACTTGTGGATCTAAACATAGAAAAGGCACAGTAAAAATACGGTATTATAAACTTCCGGGACCACCATGGTATTGTTGGGCCATCACTGAACAAAACATTGCTATACAGCATGTGGCTTTATAGAATAAGAAGCTTTCATTTTAATTCTTTTTCTGCTGGTTATTACTATCTCCTGTTTCAGGAATGGGTGAAGAATAAAATACAAGACTTTCTGTGGTGTGTGGATCTAGTTTTGCCTTTGCCTACACAGATAAGAGCCTTAGACACTATTAATGGTAAACTGTGTGATCCTTACACGCCCCCAAGCATTACATTTTCCTAGATATGATACCGTGGACACTGTTACTAGAGTTAGAAGTAGGAAAACTTTCTGGAGAAATGAACTCTAATTTTAAATTTTAAATGTAATAAAACGCAGTTGGTATAAACTCTGCCTCACCTTACTTCAGTCTGAGAAGAAAGATTAAATATACAGATGGCCTTGTTGCATGACCTCCTAACAGAACACTGGGGCCGGAAATGATCCCCAGGCCAGCGCCCTGGGTCAGTGCAGCTTATTTCAAGTGCTTCCTCCTGAATGGCAGATCCTTTTTTCCCTTTACCTTTTTCTTTTGACATAATTTCACGAATCTGACATAATTGCAGAAATATCGAAAGCGTAGAACAAAGAACCTCCCACATGTCCTTTACCGAGATTCCCCAAATATTAACATGATGCTGCCCATGTTCACATTGGCTTTATCCCCTCTCTCTCGTGTGTGTGTGTGTATACTTGTTTTTCATTTTCTATTTTAAATCCAGTTGCAAATATGATGTCCCTCTCCCCCTTAGTACATCAGTGTTTGTGTCCTAAGAACATTTTCTCTCACATAGCAACAGCACAATTATTAAAACAGGAAATTTATGTTAATTCAGTACTATTATATCATCTACAGAGCATAGTCACATTTTCCTAATTGTCCCAGTGTTGTCTTTCATAGCGAAACAAAATTCTGAAAACTTCTGTCGGATTTAGTTGTGAAATCTGTTTGGTCTCTTTTAATCTGGAATAGTCTCCTAACATTTGTGTTTCATGATATTGATTTTTTTTTTTTTTTTAAAGTACAGGCCAGCACTTTTCAAAATTCTACAGTTTTGTAGAACGACACTCAATTTGGGTTTGTCTGACGTTCCTCAGGATTCAATTCAGAAATACTGAGGGGATGCTAGATCCTCAGCGCCCTGTGTCGGGAGGCGAGGTTGTCTGTCTGGCCTGTGCCTGGTCAGGCTCACCTTGGTCACTTCATTAACGGGGTGTCTGCCAGGTTTCTCCAATGTAAAATGTCTGCTGTTCTCTTTGTAATGAATAAATATCCTGTAGGGGATACTTGGAGACTGTGTAAATATCCTGTCACACCCCAAACTTTCACCCCGTAGCTTAGCATGCTCTGATGATTCGTACTGGAATCAGTCGTGATTATGATGGTTAACAAATGCTGGCTTTCTAATTCCATTATTCTTTCCACATTTATTAGTTGGCTTCCTATGGTAAGAAGGAACTTTCCTTCTCCATTTATTTATTTATATACCTTAGTGAGTTTAGACTCGTGGACTGTATTCAGTGGGTTGCAACACTTTGGTGTCACTGTTGATTCCGATGCTCATGTTGCCCGGCATTTGGAACTCCCTTCGGTCTGGCTCATGTGCCATTTTGACAGGTCCGCATTATTCTTTTAGCACTTTCTTACTTTCTGCCACCAGAAGTCCCAGATTTGTCGTGTACTTTCCCTGGAATCAGCCTTTCTACAAGGAACGGCAGCGCCTTTTGCTTTAAAACAATTTTGAAGTGTCCCATGGTGAGCGTGACACTCGTTTGTTAAGTGGCAGTAAACCCTGGTGAGTTCAATGGGTTCAGAGCACTGTATGTTTAGATGGTCCGGGCGGAGGCCTTGCTTTGAGGGAAACTTAGATGCAGGCAGGCCAGCCATCCTGTTTCACACAGGCTTGCGATTGCATCTCAATATCTGGCATTCATTTTTTAAAAGGGAGACTGTAGTTTCATAATTTTTTTCCTGTTTGTAAAAGTAAAGAGATATTCCTCATGGAAAATTTGGATACACACAAACATATAGCTATATATGTAAATGTATAATTTCTTCAGTAGCTATATATGTAAATATATAATTTCTCCAAGTCTTCCTCTGTGTATGTGTGTGAGTCTGTGTGTGTGTGTGTGCGCGCTTTAGTGTGTTTGTGGTTCTAAATCAGAATGATATATTTATGTATAGACAGTGAGAAATCAAGAAGGCTGTTCAAAAAGATGAGTGTTTATTTTCTGCTTATAGGATTGAGAAGATTTATTTTTAAGTTTCTTATCTAATCTCTATTTTAGATTTTTAAGCTTATATTATCTTTGTAGCACAAAATATATCCAGCTTCAGTGGTATATTCAGTTTGTAAAGCTGTGTGCACATATCTACTTATTCCTTAAGTGACATTGCTAGCAATAAAAAGAAATGTGTCTGTGTGTATGGAGTTAGAGGGTTCGAACATGCACGCTCTCGTCTGTGTTAGGAGGCCACTCAGCAGAAAAGTTGTCCTGCTCCTCCTGTCCTCAGTGGGGCCAAGAGTCTCGTTTTGTGCCCTCCCACAGACTGCTTTATTCCTTCTCCCCACTTCTTATTGTAGTGAAATACACATAACATAAAATTCACCATCTTAACCATTTTCAAGTGTGCAGTTCAGTGGCGTTAAGTACATTCTCACTGACGTGCAACCATCACCACCATTCACCTTCCGGAACATTTTTCATCCTCCCAAACTGAAACCCTGTCTCCATTAAACAACAGCTCCTGGTCTCCCCATTGCCCCAGCCCCCTAGCATCCCCCCTTCTTCATCTGTCTGTATGAGTCTGTCTACTCTCGGTACCTTAGGTAAGTGGCTCATCATTTGTTTAAGATGAGAAAAAAAGAGAACCTTGTATTCCTTTTCCCCCATAAGTCACCCAAAGGGGAACATCTAAGTTTCCAAGAGGAGTGTTGAGTGTTACGGAGGTGAAAGCTGCCGGAGGGAGGCCCTGTGCTTCACACCTGTGCTGTCTTCCCCAGGGCCGGTGCACTTGCTCCCATCCTTGTGCTGTGACAAGGCCTGCAGCCCCGACCGGGCGACGGTTGGTTGTGGGGTGCATTCTGCGGCCAGTCTTCAGGCGAGGTAACTGGGTGCTTTCAGTCAATCATTTCATATCCGCCTGTGCAAATATGCATTCTACTACTGTACCGATTTTCATCTGAAACGATGGAAACATCACCTCTTAAATATTAACGACGTTCTGGATATTGGTGGGGTGCAATTCTCAGGCAAGAATTAGGTAGGTCTCTCAAGGTCACTCGTATCCAGTACAACATTCTTTATACTTTACTCTTCATTAATTTTATTTTTGTCTTATGTCCATGATTTCTGACACCTCTGTCATCTGTAATTAACATGTAAGTAATTTTTACCCATGGACTATTATTTTAGAATAGCACTCAATCAAACTCAGATGAGACCCTGCATGTTTTAGACGTTGGAAACTGTCTAAACTGTCTTCCTGTCTAAACAGGAAACTGCATGTTTTAGACGTTGGATTAAATGTAACTATATTAATTAGAAGGAGGGGTCAAAACTCAGTTTTCAAGTAAATGGAGTAATTTGACTTACTGTATTGAGGCAAGTCTATAACAGTAGGAAACACTAGAATTCTGATTTAGTATCTAGATATTTCATCTAGAAGACCGAACATTACGGCTGACATGCTTCTTTGTAGTAGTGTTTTTCTCGCCATCACAGACTTTAAGCTCTTTTGAATGTGTGTGCAGAAACGCAGGCCCAGCCGGGGAGATGGTGCCAACTTTCTTCGGGTCCCTCACGCGGTCCATCTGTGGCGAGTTTTCAGACGCCTGGCCTCTGATGCAGAATCCCATGGGTGGTGACAACATCTCTTTTTGTGACTCTTATCCCGAACTCACTGGAGAAGACATTCTTTCTCTCAGTCCGGAACATGAAAGCTCAACGTCTTTGGCTTCAAATAGCAGTCAAGATTTGGTTGGTGGGGCTGTTCCAATCCAAGCTCATTCTGAAAACTTTGCAGCAGCTGCTGATTTATCTAGATGTAACAACACACTGGCAGAACCAGCATCAACTCAGGATGCACCAACTACGAGGAGCCAGCTAGATCAGGAGAGTGGCGCTGTCATCCACGCAGCCACTCAGACGTCCCTCCAGGTAAGGCAGCGACTGGGTTCGCTGTGAACATAGCACTGACTTACAGTAGACCAGAACGCTGTTCCCAGCACAAAATTAGGGGGAACCTCATGAGATTTTTTTTGCATCTTTCCTAATTTCTTGTATGTTGTAGAATATGTTTTAAAATAAATTTCAAGTCTTTTTTTAAAAAACTAACACAGCTAATATATAAGAGCAAAGTGTACAGCTGCGTTCTTTTATTCCTCTTTGTAAGTACAACCACTTAGCACAGCACCTGCCGCCTCGTTCCCTGGTTGAGAGAGATGCGTCGGATATGGGAGCACCTTGCAGACAATTCCTGACCTTCATTTCTTCCTGTTATATATAGTTATATATCTATTACTTATGCCCAATACTTAAATGTACTTCATTCACTGCCAAGTTTCTGTGAATTTAGGTCTCCTAAAGCTACTCTTTTCCCTCCTCTCTCTCTTGCTATTGTTTTCTGGATCACTCTACTTTGACAGATTGATTGATTTGGCTGGAAATTGATTGTTGGTTGTGACCTGAGACCGGGTCATAAGACCCTCTCAGGCGGAGTGGTTGAAAATCAGGTTTGGGTGGAGCGAGGGTGGCACCTGCAGAGATGGGGCTTTCTGCAGGCTGCAAAACCAGAGGCAGCAAAGGATTCTGGGGTAACCGGGCACGTCTCTGCTTTCTTCAGGTGAGGACGTGGCCTTTGCTGATTTTGACCTCATGTTTGTAAACATTTCCTTAAATGGGAGCGCATGTATTGTTAGTGTAAGTTCTAGAAGAAAAGTGTCAAGCCTTGAGTGTAAAAGGGCAGAGTCACAGCAACAGTCCAGCTCCCAGGCCCACAAGACCCTGCCCCACAAAGAGGCCGCTGCTGTCACTGCCTGTCCCTCCCTGCCCCAGATCAGCGCTGTGGGTGCGGAGGAGGCAGCTGAGCCTGCTCTAGAGGCGTCTCGCTTCCATGTGCTTCTGTATGCCGGCCTGATTATATCAGAGACTTAGTGCACAGTCAAAGTGTGAATGCTGATGTGTTCCTTTTAAGATCAGTTCACAAGTTACATATGATCTAAGTCTGCAGTACTTGTTCTCTGTTTTTCGTGTTTGGGTTTTGAAACGGGGTCTCTCTGTCGCCCAGGCTGGAGCTCAGTGGAGCGATCACAGCTCACTGCAGCCTCGTCCTCCCGGGCTCAAGCCACCTTTCCACCTTGTTTGCTTTTTTTAACTACAAAAAAAAAAAAAATTATCTGGAGAATTTACAGGGGATTCTATAGAGAAAACATTTGTTAGCTTTGGAGGGGAAAAAATTGGTTTTGTTCTCAAAATGGGGGAATGGAGAAGTAAGAGAAGGGAGATGAGTGAATGAAGGGAAAACAAATTAGGCAGTTAACACATACAAAGCATCTACCTCTGAGCTTTGCCTGGAGTTAGGGGAGGCTGTTCACTGGTCTTGTTCTTTTGAGCCATCCATAATTAGTAAAATTGTTATGATAAGAAATAAGAAAAGACTTAAGAATTAACCTAGTTGAGTGTAAGTCTCGAGAATGGACTGTGCCCCACACAGCGTAGGAACGGAGAGGACGCAGCAGCCGAGAGCACGTAACGAGTCCTTCACAGCGGACAGCGTCCACCGACGGATCGGGGGATGCTGGAAACGGGGGGGCCCCCTGCTCGGCAGCAGAGGGCCCAGCTGCCCCCCAGCAGCACTAAATGAGGGGCCCTCGCCACGTCTACTGCATCGTCCGTGACTCTCGTTAGACCATCTGAGGAACTAGGGCTACGGTGCTGGCAGCTGACAATGACTGTTTTTCAGAATTTTGTCAGGAAACAGAATTACCACTCACCTTAATTTTGTAGCTTGTTCCCAAGTTTGTGATGTCCATTGCTGAGACTGAGGCAGGAAACGTCTTCATACAAGGTCGTCCCGGCGCCACCTCATTGCCTGCTTGTGTCTGTGCATGTTGGTGCGTTGGGGACAGGATTGTGTAAGCACTGTCATCACAGCTGTATGGACATGATATTTTAGAAACATGCTTTAGGTGGTGAGATTGGTATATCATGACTTATTAACTCTTTTGAAAGACATGCAGGGTAGTTCTCATGATTTATATATACTTTCAACTCAAATCATTATGAAAAGAAAGTTACAATTACATCTAAACTGAACCTGATGAGAAAATATTTCATTCAAGTTGCACAGCATAATAATTTATTAATGAAAGGTTTTTACTAACTTTTCAAGATGTGTAGTCCCATAATTGTTAGATTAATTTAGATAAATCTAAGTATGACATTGAATTTTAAAAAGGAATTGTTAAAATATAGACCATTTTGATTTTTCCCCTATAATAGTAAATAATATTTTGAGCCTATTTTAAGAGATAATAATTTCCAGATGCTGGAAAAAAAAAAACAAAAAACTTCAGTTGCACTTAATAATCTGTGAAATATAGCAAATGAACCTTAAGCTACTGCAGGCCTTTGGGGGTGTGGTCCTCCTCTTTATTTCAAGGTTCAACCAAGTGTTTAACTCAAGTAGTTTTGCTTTTGTTTTGTTTTTTTTCCCCAATCTCAATTCAAAAAACCAACCCACATTTTCCCCAACAGGCTAATTTTCCAACTAGAGGACACATTCACTTCTCATAAAGAATTTGATTTTAGGCTGAGGCAGGAAGATGACTTGAGCTCAGGAGTTTGAGGCTGCAGTGAGCTAGGATCACGCCACTGCACTCCAGCCTGGGCAACAAAGCAAGACCCTGTCTCTTAAAACATAAAATACAATAATTTGATTTCAGCAGCTCACTATGATGAACCAAAGCACAGGGCTTCGCGTTAATTTTCTCCATTCCACAGGTCCGTGTTCAGTTAGCTTGGCTCCACGATGTGAGCTCGCTCGTAGCTCAGGAAAACAACGTGTGTCCATCTGGGAGGTGGATAAGGAGCAGCTGTGGCCAAACAGCACTTCTCTCTTTACGTGGTGTGAGGCCATGATTTCAACGCATGATGCATTTGTTTCCAAAACCTGCATTTGCACACACTAGTTTTCTTGTGGGTGATTTAAGATCACCCATAATCTGATGATAGTTACGGTTCCAGATAAAGCAAATAGGTGTGAGAGCCTTCTTGAGTTTGTATGACTCGATTTGAATCAAGTTTTTCCTATACACATCTCTCCAGATAATGTTCCAGAAGGGAACAAAACTGAGATATTTGGAACATTTTTTGCTGAGCTATTTGAGAGAACAAAGCCAGCCTGTGTACTTACAGGAAAAGCATTTCTTGAGGTTGTTTTTAATCCAACATTTAAAATGTCAACAGGAAGAGACAGAAAGAAGGTTAGGAAACATGAGAGGACCCTGGGGTCTAGTGTTTCAATCTGTTGAAATCTCTACTTTTTCCTTATCGGCAAAATGAGGATAATTTGCCTCCCACAGAAGGGTTAATGTAGTTATTATAACCATGTCAGTTAATCAACGTATTTGATAAAACTATCTCCTGTTATTGGACGTATTTCTTAAGATTTGACTTCTAGATAATCGCCTTAGACCTAGGAATAATTTTTTGCATACACTTACCTGGTATGTCACCAATGCCAAGTTCGTGGTAAGTTAGTGAAGGGTTAATACACGAAGTAAATGTTCAGTGATTTCACTTGCACCCTTCGTGCACTGAGGTCATGCTCTTTGTGATAAGGACACGTCTAATGGCTATACTTCGCTGAGGATATTTTCCCGATAAGGATTGTGAGTATGCTAGGGAGATTGTTATGAGATAAATCTTATTCCCAACTATTTCTGAACGTTCTCTAATAGTTTAATGGAAGTTTCACATTCAAAGACTAAGTTGGCAGATAAAGAATGGCACTATTCATTCATCATATTTGTTCTTTGAAAGAAAGGAAATACAGAATCCTAAAATATTTACCTACAGATGCTTGAAAGGAACACAGTACAGAAGAAAGAAGCTTTACATGTTTGAATAAGGTTGAAAGCCCACAGAAGAATGGTTGGTTAATACATTATGATTGCTATGGGTTACAGTATCGTCTTTTAAGTACTCTGCAGTTATTGGGTGACTATGAATTGTTATGAAAACCTTTATTTTATCCTGAGATTACACGGGTAGCTGGATATTTGGATACTATTGAATGAGTTTCTTGTCCATGTGCTGTTAAATTCATGGGTACTACTAGTAAAAGTTATGCATAATAATTCTTTACCATTGAAATGTAGCAGATTTAATTTAGAAGACATTGTCTCTAAAGCTTCCTTTCTGTTGCTGTTTTAGGAAGCTTAAAGGACCTGCTTCTTTCTGCGGTAGAAGTGTGTGCTGGAACCCAAAGAGTACTCCTTTGTTAGGCTTATGGACTGAGCAGTCTGGACCTTACATGGCTTCTGGGGCAAAAATAAATCTGAACCAAACTGACGGCATTTGAAGCCTTTCAGCCAGTTGCTTCTGAGCCAAACCAGCTGTAAGCTGAAACCTCAATGAATAACAAGAAAAGACTCCAGGCCGACTCATGATACTCTGCATCTTTCCTACATAAGGAGCTTCTCTGCCACAAAAGTGACTTCAAAGAAGGATGGGTTGAGTTGGCAGCCTATGAGATTGTGGACATATAACAAGAAACAGAAATGCCTTCATGCTTATTTTCATGGTGATTATGGTTTTACAAGACTGAAGACCCAGAGTATACTTTTTCTTTCCAGAAATAATTTCATACCGCCTATGAAATGTCAGATAAATTACCTTAGCTTTTATGTAGAATGGGTTCAAAAGTGAGTGTTTCTATTTGAGAAGGACACTTTTTCATCATCTAAACTGAGTCGCGTAGGTGGTTAGAATGGCCTTCATATAGCCTGCCTAAATCTTGGGTTTATTAGATGAAGTCAACTGAATCAGAGGAGTCAGACAGAGGAGGGCTCTTTCCAGAATCCACACTTCAGCCTCGGTCTCATACACACCCACTGGTGCTGATCTCAGGAGCACACCAGGGCCAGGGAATGTGGCTGAGAAAGGGCAGCCCATTGCCCGGAATTAACACATATTGTGGAGACTTATATGCAAAGGCTGGCATATGTATATGAAAATCAGTTGATATAGAAACATTTGTTGCATCTGTCCCTCTGCCTGAGCTTAGAAGATTATAGAAAAAGGGTATTTATAAACATAAATGACCTTTTACTTGCATTGTATCTTATACTAAAGGCTTTAGAAATTACAGCATAGCAGCTTCCCCTACTACTGCAATAGTCTTCCATGAGAACACACCACACGTTAGGACTAAAAGAAAATGCTCCATTTGTAGGGGTTTAGATGAAGCAGCTGTAACTGCCCTAGTGTAGTTTGACCAGGACATTGTCGTGCTCCTTCCGATCGTGTAAGATTAGTTAGCACATCGTCTCCTACTTCAGCCATCCGGTGTTGGATTTAAGAGGATGGAGTTTCTTTCTATTAAGGTGCTCTATCCCCTACCATCTACACACTAGCATCGTCTCTAGAGCTAAGACAGAAATGAACTCCGTTCAGTCACAAAGCAGCAAATGGTCCATTTGCTCTTACTCTTTATGCCCTGGAGAGGACTTACTTGAACAGGGCATTTTTTTAGACTTTTGAACATCAGTATGTTCGAGTGCGCTACAATATTTTGGTTTGGAATTGCCCTGTCCAAGTCACTGTCTTTTAACATTTAAACTGAATATTAAAATGTGTCTTTCCTAGGACATTTTTATCTTCTCATGTATTACCCACGGTTTTCTCTCTTTGTGAAAGATTAGTAACATTTAATGAGCCCTTTTTCTTGTGGCCTTTTCTCCATAGTTTCAGGTTTTGGTATGTGTTCACTAGCTTGCCTGTGTCTGGTACATCTCGTGACCTCAATTCCCTCACCTGAAATAGGAAATGAGTGTTTCATTGGAGCCCCCAAGCTGTCATGTCAGCCTAGTGCCTAGTCATAATTAATTGATTTTTCCTGGATTACTTTTAAGTATAAACCAATGATCCTTTGGTAGTATGAACTCTTAGGAAAACTGCCTTTTGGACATGTAAAATATTTAGGATTTGACCACACAATGGCTGTGAAAATGCAAGTAGAGTTTCCTCGCGTGACCTCACCGTAATTCACATACGTGCCACTATTTGCCATCTGGTCCTTTCTGTTATGACAGAGAGATGATGAAAGTGGGCAGGGCTGTGTTCCTTTGTGTAGCCTGTATATATTTTCCACATGTAGAACCCTGATTAACTTCAAGGACAAACACTGGCTGGAGAAAGCCAGACTGATGGGAATGAGATTTTGGCCAAAAATCCCAAAACATCATTTGCAATCAGCAGAGAACTGCTTAGGGTTGAAAATGGATTTCATTTGCTATTGAATTTGATAAATCCTGTGTAACTTTTATCAAGATGAAGACATTTTACCCTACTACTCTAGAAATATACAACAATGTGATATTTTACACTTTGTCAACATTTGAGGAAAAAAATCCAATTTACACTTCACTTTGTTGGAATTATCCCATAGCACTCAATAAACTCAGCTGCTAGAGTGCCGATGTCAGGAAGGCTGGTCGGGTAATGCGTGTGGCTGAAGGGGCATAACCACTGTGGCTTCTCAGACTGCAGAAGCTCGTTGACAAGAATGAGGAGGATTTCAGGAGCAACCAAGTAAGGTCATGCATTTTCTCATTTTGTGTATATGGAATATATTTTTAAATAGAGATTTTTCTACTTTAGATAAAGTGTTAATGTTGCTATTACCTAGGTTAAGCACTATTGTCTGTGTTGGTAAAAAAAAAAAAAAAAAAGGAAAGGGAAACCATCCTTGCTTTAAAATAGCTTAAATCAATGTAAATTTCATCATTGCTATTTTGCATACTGGAATTTATAAATGTGTAAATTATCATATTCTTAGTTTTGTAATACCTTTTTTATTTGTGAATAAAATTGTCACCTGGTATTCTTATTTATGTGTTCAGTGAGAGAATGACTGATTTTGTGGATGCAGACGTGTTTATTTCTTTCAAAAGTCTGTGTGAGGGTTTTGGAGAATTCTGCTGCCTCTGGGCACAGCGGCTCCTGCCTGTGGCCCCAGATACTAGGAGGCTGAGGCAGAAGGATCATGAGCCTAGGAGTTTGAGGCCAGCCCGGACAACATAACGAGGCTCTGTCACTAAAAACTGTGCTCCGGAGAGGGACGGAAGCCCCTCTGGCTCCTCAGGCTTTTGGAGGGTGATTTGTAATCCTCACTGGTGACCTGTGAGGGAGAGTCTGGAAACACAGCCAGGCGCATTGGGCTACTTGGAAGGTGCTCTGCGGCCCCTGAGAAGCTTTGACATCAAGGTCTTATCGTGATGTCTATTTTTTCCCTTCCTCTTATGGCACAAAGAGGGAAAGAACTAAAGAGAAAGTTTTGTATCCTTCTAGATGGAGCTCAGCCAGGTGTCCTGCAGAGGGGGACTAAAGAGAGGAAGGCGGAGACTTCCACAGAGCAGGAATCCTTCCTTTCTTCCCTCTACTCAGTAAAGCTTTCAAGGCTATTATTAGATTTTGAGAGAGGACTTTAAACTTCCTGGAAAAAAAAATACTTTAAAAAATGTTACAGTGACATCCTGCTCTCTCAGCAGGTGAGTTTCTGCTGTTGACACTGGATTCTCTGAGGGAAGGACACTGACTTCCCCCCGACACCCCCACTCGCACCCCAGCGCCCCAGAGCACGTGGACTTTCCTGGTATCCGTGGAGACTGGTTTAGCTGATGGGTACCATAAATCCATCAACTCTCTGAGAGAAATAACTCAAAGCTATTAAGATTCTCCCAGGAGGTCTGGACTATTTTATTGTAATAACAATGACATATTTTCATTGTTACCACTATTATTAAAGTTTCTGCAATTGGCTACTTATTCTGAATGTGTCCCATTTTAAACTAAGAAGGTATTGTCTGATTTTTTTTTAAATTTAATTAATTTATTTTTTGAGACAGTCTTGCTCTGTCACCCAAGCTGGAGTGCACCTCCCAGGTTCACACAATTCTCCTGCCTCAGCTTCCTGCATAGCTGGGGTTACAGGTGCATGCCACCACGCTAGCTAATTTGTGTGTGTGTGTGTGTGTGTGTGTTCTAATAAACGGGGTTTCACCATGTTGGTCAGGCTAGTCTCAAACTCCTGACCTCAAATGATCCTCCCACTTCAGCTTCCTGGAATCCCAAATTGCTGGAATTACAGGCTTGAGCCACTGCACCTGGCCTAGTCTCATTTTTTAAAAACAAATTTGGCACCAACTAAGGTCTGTAAATAGAGCTTAAGTTTATCATTCAGTCTTGAAAGTGAACAGTGGTCTGAGAGGTTTCAAAATCGTCTATAATATCAAACAAGTTTCAGTAAGTCCTGGTATGTGATTATAGGGACATCATTATGCTGAGTCAAGGCAGCAGTTCACACTAGCCTTGGTTATGTCACACTTCAGCCAACGGAGGGTTGAAAGGTTTCTACTCCAGAGTCAGCTGTCCAAGGTTAGGTCATCTCGTGAATGGCCAGTGGCATCTGAATTAGTGTGATTCATGACTGCTTGAAATTCACCTCTCCAGAAGCCTTGAATTCTTGAGTTACCAGCAACACCACTTTCTGTAGAACCATGGGTGGTCTTCTGAAAGAGGTTTCATTTTTTGTTCTATAAAGACAGAGGATTCTTTTTTCCATAATTTCTAATGGCATTAGCTATTCCTACGTAAGACTGAAATAGCTCTGTTCTGGTAGTTTTGTTTGGGGTGGAATTAACTAGCAGAACTATGTAGAGGGATTTTCCTTACCTGGGTTGATTATTTACAGTAAATACAAGATCTGCAGACCATTCTGCCAGCAATCTTTTAATCGCAGGTTAGGGAGGCAGACTGCGCCACAGCGAGACATGCCATCCCTCCACAGATCAGAGATGAATCATTCCCCTTGAAGTTTTGTTTTGTTTTGTTTTGTTTTTTGAGACGGAGTCTCGCTCTTTCACCCAGGCTGGAGTGCAGTGGCGCGATCTCTGCTCAATCAAGCTCCGCCTCCCGGCTTCACGCCATTCTCCTGCCTCAGCCTCCCGAGTAGCTGGGACTACAGGCGCCTGCCACCACGCCTGGCTAATTTTTTGTATTTTTAATAGAGACGGGGTTTCACTGTGTTAGCCAGGATGGTCTTGATCTCCTGACCTTGTGATCCACCCACCTTGGCCTCCCAAAGTGCTGGGATTACAGGCATGAGCCACTGCGCCCAACTGTTTCCCTTGAAGTTCTAAACGCAAGTCCAAGTCCTCTCAGAAGACTCACTCTAGTAGGCGTTTCCTGTGGCAGTCCTTAATTTATGCACTCCACACACATTTATATAGCATAGAGCATGTGCTTGGTTCTAACCGCAGTGCCAGGGCCAGAGAAGATACGAAGAAATACAAGGAAACCAAGGCTTTTAAGTGTTTATAAAGTAGACCTGGGCCAGCGTGGTGGCTCATGCCTGTAATCCCAGCACTTTGCAAGGCTGATGCAAGAGGATTACTTGAGGTTAAGAGTTTGAGACCAGTCTGGACAACAATCTGAGACTCCATCTCTACAAAAAAAGAAAAAAAATTAGCCAGTGTGGTGGTGCATGCCTATAGTCCTAGCTCTACTCAGGAGGACCAAGCAGGAGGATCCTTGAGCCTAGGAGTTTGAGGCTGCAGTGAGCTGTGTTACAGCCATTGTACTCCCGCCTGGGCAGCAGAGCAAGAACCTGTCCCTAATAAAATAGCTCTTAATTGTAAAAACACAAGTGCAAATCCTTCTGGGGACAGTGAGGAGGGGGCACAGAAGCTGGGAGGGAAAGTCCTCTGCACTGGGCCATGAAGACTCATGTGGCATTCACCAGGCAAGTGGAGGGATGGAAAATGCTAGAACCGCAGGTGGAAAAGCTCAGCCTGTGCTGGGAGTGGGAGAAGTGCAGGGAGGCTGGAGCACGAGGACACGGGTGAGGTGGCTCAGGGCAGAGTTCTAGCCCAACAGGCACCCAGTGGGTCCTGCCCTGGGGCTGGAGCTTCCCCACGGGGGACTGACTGACCTCTGCGAAGGGATGACAGACATAAAAACCAAAATAGTCTTCCAGAAGCTTCAGAGTTCCAGAGGGAGGTGAGTGGGCCTCTATTCAGCAGCAGCAAATCCCCAGTCACTGACAGGGACCAGCCCCCTGCCAGGAGTGAAGGTGGACAGCCTCTCTCCTGTTTGGAAATACTGAGCCTAAGCTCGTTCCGCAATATCTGGGTCATGTTGGTCCGGTTCTGATTTCCAGCAGGGCAGTGCCGAGCCTCAGGTGCAAGTTTAGGACTCAGCAGAACCATCTGCTGACATCAAACCAACCCTGCACTGGAGTCCTGAGAAGACAAGGCTGAACAGGCTAGCACACTGCACTAGAGCGGCCATGGCCTTCCTGTGCCTGTGGATTGCATCAAGCACCTTCGTGGCCTTTTTATCCTGGGCCTGGGACGCACTGACATTGTCCTGTGCAGCCTGGAGCTCCAGGCAACCCTACCACCAGATCCGGGCCATTCTTCAGGGCGATGGGTGTTGGCACATCTGTTTCTAAATCTTAGCTTTGTGCATCTGTTTCTAAATCTTAGCCAGTCGCCTTCACCTGAAAGCTAACTCTAACCTGATCGTGTCTGTCTGCACCCTACCCTTGTCGTGGAGACACTGCTGCTTTCGTTCCCTGCCCTCACACGGCTGAGCAGCCTCCCCACGGGAAACCCATGGGGCCAGAAGGCTGGCACCTGGCTTGGGAAGGACAGCAAAG